TGCGCCGCCGACGGCTATACGCCGTCTCTCGGCCACAACTCCTTTTTCCTCGGCAACTTCAGAACAACTTGACATGAACATTAATATGAAGCAATTTAGGACACAAACACACGGCTGAACATGATCCTTACTGAAAACATTAAGGCACGGCCCGAGGCCACCCGAGGCCACGCGCGATAGGCGCTGGCGACGGCTTGGGCCATTTTATTAACAAAACTTCACTTGGCTTCAACTATTATGAACTTACTGAACATGATAAACTAAATAAAGGCTAAAAAACCGATAAACGCTCGGGACTTGTCGGACTGAAATGCACATAATTCGGTTATGATCTTACTTAAACATAATCGGACTTAGGGACGGTTTTGTTTAAAATTCTCGCAAATAGATCGAACACTAATCCTTAAGATGACCTTATTAATATGATTAGAAGCTGAAGGAGGAGTTACCTCTCTGATCGTTCGACTGAAATCGGAAAATAGGGCGTGCTTCTTGCCTTGAGTATGCCGTGCGATGCCTTCTAATTTGCCGTGCGAAGCTTAATGGAAAAATTGAGATAAATTGCTTCAATTTATGGCTGCCGAAGGGGGTAATATATTCTGAATATTGCTAAGGAAAAAGTGGGAAAATTTTGTCTTAAGTCCCCCTTTATATACACGGCCGTGGGGATGGTGATGATGTAGTGAAGGTGTGGCACTTTCCCTTCTTGACACTTGCTCTTATTTGGGGATGATTTGATGATGACTAATCTTCCTTCCTTACTCTTCCTTAAAACACGTGGATGGCTAATGTGTGGAGGGGAGAAGACTCCTTAAGACTTAGGAAACTAATGAGTAAAATTTGAACTTAAAATATATACACGCACGGCCTTAGCATAACATGGAGACAATTTGCCTTATATCTCACGGTTTTAAGCCTAATGATGTGATTAATTATTATTAATCACTTAATTTATGTTTAATTATTTAATTAAACATAATGCTTAATTACCAAAATTATTCCGAACGTAATCGGTACGTCGAAAATAAATTTCGGTAATCTCGACTGAAAATAATTAATTCCGACAATAATAAACGATAACATTATTATATCGGAACTAAACATAATTTATACCGATAAAATATCGGGATATTACATATTATATTACCGAAGCTAGCGCTCGCTCATAGCATTCATATTATACCGGAACAAATCCACCTACAGGGTTTAGCATAATATTCCTTCATGAACTCACTTCAGGGACATCATCATACTAACGCACATGGTGACCGTAAATATCCTAATAGTACATCGAACACACAATGTCATTATCCAATTCATTAAGTATGTCGACCCAGCTTGGATCTAACACAAAGAATCAAAGCAACAACAATTATGTGCACATGCCTATTTAATATCTTACGGGTTAAGAGCACACAATAATTAACTGAGGCCTAGTTCGTTTACGACGATTAGTATAAAACGAACATCCCTCTCTGGGATCCTATTCAATACATAAATGTACTAGTGCAACTAATCGGTCAAGACAAACCGTACGGTTGACACTACAACCGTTCCGATTGGTTGTTCAATTCCATCTAGGTTGTGAACCAACAATTCTTGTTTTGCAAGTAACTGATATAGTGATCTTCGGTACGCCCGATGACGACCCACTTATCTACATGCAAAACAACAGAACGTGGAACTTATTTAACCAAACATAATTCTCATTCATCAAGGAATAACAAGTGTAATATCCACTAAAGCAAAGCTTAAGTATATAACACCAACACGTTGGTTGTGGAAAAACCCCAGTCGTTGGTACACACGGAAAATTTCAGAGATACGCACATGTACAAATGAGGATAAGTAGCAATATCGGTAGTTACCTTTCATGAACGTCTGCTCAATAACGCGGCACATCGTTCGCGGCACATTGTATTGCGGCACACCTGCTCCTCATCAAGTGAGTGCGGCACGCCTGTATACAGCACCTGGCGAACATTGCACCTGCGTCGTCGACGTAGTCTGTATAATTGATCATATCTGTACCTCAAGCTAGTAACCTCAATGTACTATAATGCTAACTCTCTGTAATCTCCCAGTGTACCATGACTCAGGCATGGGATCCTTCTCTTCTTGCGTCATGCATCCCTGAATGAAAAGCTTCAGTTAATCATCATGGCATGGTCTATTGTTGTTGATTGGCCCTTCTTCGTCGCGTTGTATGTCAATATGTGATACCTGCAACTGTTTACCTTCCCTGAGGTCAAACTTAACCTCAAGAAAAGTCTATCATGACTTAATATCTCCTACGATTTCTCAAATTTTTCAGAATTTGAGATACGAGGCACTGATTATACTTGAAATAACTGATACGTCTTGTCTTATTAGACAGACTATCTTTGGCTTTGGCATAACTAGCCTGGATATTCTCATAACTGAATAACCATGACTTGACTTTTACATGACTAAATCATCTTTACCTGAACTCTGAAAGCTAACCCGAGACAACTAAATAGTCGCCTCGGAATTGAGAACATGACATTTACTGATTTACTTGACTTGATAAGGTGCGACTTCAAGTTTCCAGGTAGAATTAGATTAATTGTCTGTATTACAGATCTCCATATTCAACCCGGCTGAACAACTATTATACGTCGACCTTAAATCATGAACATTAGCTCTAAATATTGAACATTGACTCATGACTATGTACTATATAGGGCTGTTCCAGTATTAATTGGTCCCGCAAGTACAAAGGAATTAGCTGATCTTGATCTTTGAAAACCTTAACTTGAAGTATCATGACTGACAAAATACATGACATGACTGACTTTAAAGGTTGCGATTATATAAAATCATACTACTCCGGTCCCAGCTTCAAGCCTCCATGGTATACCCGGCTGAGTGGCTCTTATTTCAAGTCTCCATGGTAACCCGGACTATTGGTTCTTATACACTGAAAACCGTTACCTTGACAATAACTTGGAAATTATAACAACCTTTAGTAGAAAAATTTTCCCCTTGAACTTGGTTTACTGACCTGACTGAAGAAATTTGAGTCTATTCCCTGATCTAACTCAAGGAATTCCACCTTGGAATGTGCCAACAGGTTGGCAAAATTGGCAATGTTTTTAAAAAAAAAATGTCTGAGGAACATGAACGTATGTGCTTACAAATCTTTTGACGAGTCATTAACTTGACTTGAATAAATCTAGAATTTAATCTAGAGTTTTTAAACTTAGCCCCTTTCTAAGGTTCTGAATTCTGATTCGAATATCCTTACTGATGACATTTGGAAGCTGATCAGTAAAACGCACAAATTTCTTGACGAGTTGCTAAACATGACTAGGGAATACTGAAATTAAATCATGGGTATCCTGACTACTAATTCTGAACATGATTCGAGCATCTTAACTAATTCATAGCTGAGAAATTATTGAGCATAGACATAGTAATTTGTTTATAATCTTAAAACATAAATCAGCACTTACATGTAGTCGGCGAGGCGTGAGCGTGACGTGTTCAGGTTTTTCGTAAAATTTCTGACTCGTGAAAATTTGCAGAGACACAAAAACGTGCTCTGATACCATTTGTATCACCCCGCCTTAACATGAAAATCAGAGTACGCGTTTTCGCAAAATCTTTGAATAAAATATTTAATTTGCGAAATACTGATATGGAGTGTTACCGTAAAAACATGACTTGTCTTGAAAACCGTTATTTAAAGAAAATAAAACGGTTTAGCGTAATATAAACACCGATTATAAATCGGGTCTGAGTTTGACAAAACAGTAATAAATAGCGGAAAGCATAGCATGGCCAAAACATGATTAACATATTTACAAAACTTCTGAACCGAATGCCCGCTCACTCCTCGACTCCGACCCTGTGACCTGAAAAACATGAAAATATGTGGGGCGTGAGCACTAAGCCACTGTGCTCCGCAGAAACTCATGCTAAAGTAAACAGTGAAAATAATTGCAATATCATGATCTTGGCATATACATAACCTGAACATGAAACCGGTAATAAACATGAACCTGATAATCATCACATGAACCATGACCGTTACCTCATCTGCCAGCATAAAAATGCCGGACACCATGTGCACACTCTAGTGGGCAGACTAGGGCCACTAGAACCCAGAATGGACCGGCGACCATTCCGAGCGGATACATGACATGAAATACATACCTCAAATATGGTACCGTAATTATAATCAATGTTGATATAGCCCTATGGTCATAACCCGGTTCAGGCGTTAGTTACTCGACTCGATAGACGCTGCCAAGAATATCATCAAGACGATACCTCTAAAGTCGACATGGCCTATCAATCATATGAGGATCACCACTGGTCCAGGGACGATCAAAAGACGACTTTAGGAAGTCGACTTGGTTTAAGTCGACTTACGCGCCAGAAGGCGAATAAACATTCAGAGAGCCTCGGATATACTAACAGGACCATAAGTCGACTCGACAAGGCTCCGAATCGACTTAGAGTATTTCTGACGACTCACATTTACCTCAATGTCGTAGCAAGGCTTCTGGAGCTAGAGAATCTGTATGAGATAAGAAGGAATCTAGGTGCTGACTCAGAGAGTGGGCAGAATGTGAACCGACCAGGGCATTTTGGACACTTCATGTAAGTCGGCCAGGTCATTTCAGGTATTTCCAGTGAGCATTTCTACCCTTATATAAACGAGTAGAGGTGACTCCAAACCCTAACTTTTACTCTCTTCATTCATTATTCAGCTGCTGCTCCTACTGAGCAGAGCTCCTTCTTTCCTCTCTCACTGACTTGAGCGTCGGAGACGATTCGAACAGACTGGAGCGGTCCACGGGCGACTTGGAGACGATTCGAACAGACTGGAGCTCATTTCCACCAGTTCACTCCGGATCTAGGAGGAGACCCATCAAATTGGCGCCGTCTGTGGGGAGTTCTTGAAGGAAGTAAGAGCTTTACACCTAGTTTCGATCTGTTTGACATGGCGGAGAAGGAAGGATTATCGAGAAATCTAAACGAGGACTTCAGGGCAGCGTGGACGGACAAGCGGCCGCCGTCAATTCCTGGCCCTAGACCACCGCTTCAGGTTCTCGGTTTACCACCCTTTGGGGGACACGCGCCGTCGGAGGTGCGTATTGAGGAAGAAACACCCATCACGCCTCCCAGGGTAAAAGTTCCTGGGATAACACAAGGAGAACCTCCAGGTGAAGGGCGCGAACACGGGAGTCGATGGCCGCGAGTCCACAGAAACGACTTTGAGCCTGGGAAAGCAATCTAGAGTGCTGGAACAAGTGACGATGCCACCACCCCAGGCCGAAGAGCAGATGATGACTGTGACGAGGAATGAGATGCAAAGAATGATAGCGGAGGCGGTGGCAGCCCGACTCGACCAGGCACGAGTCGAGCACCCCAGGCTTGAGCAGCCCAGGCTCGAGCAGCCCAGGCTCGAGCAGCGCAGGATTGAGCCACTACCCCATGATCACGAGCAACAAGCCCAGTCTAATGATAGGCAAATCATAAGGGTGGAGGAGGAGGCGTCCTCCATTAGGACTGCTAATCCGCAGGCGAGAGATGAAACGCTGGAGCAGTTGCTGGCCCAGGTTCGTGATTTACAGGCCCGAGTCGAGAGGAGGAAAGTTGGAGGCTCGAGGGGACATCCGTTCTCGCAGCACATCCTGGATGCTGACCTGCCGCAGGGTTTTCGTGATCTAAACATAAGTTATGACGGGTCGACCGATCCATCTCGTCACATGAGGAGTTTCGAGAATATGGCGGTTTTGCATCGCTATAATGACCCTGTGCAATGTCGAGCTTTCCAAACCACTTTGCGGGGATCTGCACAGGACTGGTTTTCACCAACTGCCAGCGGGAGCCATCAAGGATTTTGAAGGATTCAGTGCGAGATTTCTCAATCAATTTGCAAGTGTTAGACCCCAGGATAAATCGTATCTGACATTAATGGGCATCCAGCAGAGGGAAGGTGAGTCGCTACGAGATTATGTAGCGAGATATACGCGAGCATGCGTCGAAGTGCCCAGGGCATCGGAGGAGATAAAGGCAGGAGGTTTGACACGAGGGTTGCGACCGGGCTTGTGCAGGAATTCTCTGGCAAAGCGCCCCGGTAGAACGTTCGACGAAGTGCTGGGGAGATAGGCGAAGTATATGAATGTCGAGGAGGCAGAGATCGATTTCCCGCAAACAGCTAAAGAAAGTAGAGCTGACCCTCGGGATGAGAGAAGGAAGAAAAGAATTTCCTCGGCTGGGGAGAGGAAGGGGTCTCCGGGCGACCTAGGGGTTGGAGGCCGACTCATTACACCCCTTTGTCGGCCCCTCAAGCGCGAATTCTGGAGGTGATGAAAAAATAAATTCATGACAATGTTGTCAGATGGCCCAAGACGAGAAAGGACGGACCAACGAGACCGAAGAGTAACCTATATTGTCGATTCCACAAAGACTATGGGCACAATACTGACGACTGCAGGCACCTTAAAGACGAAATCGAAAGACTGATTAAGGCAGGACACTTGAAGGAAATCATATATTAGGATCGAGAAAAGTCGAACAGAAGGAGAGAAAGGAGCAGGAGCCCTCGCAAGAGGGCGAGAACACTGGAGAAAGAGGAGCTCCCACAGAAAAGGGGAACCATACATATGATATTTGGAGGATCAACTGATGGGGATTCGAATCGAGCAAGGAAGGCGTATGCCCGAGGGCGCCATGGGAAAGTCGAGATACAACAAGTCGATGAAAATGGACCGGTAATAAACTTCGGTCCAGCAGATGCGGGAGAAGTTGAGAGGCCTCAGATGCGGGAGAAGTCGATGAAGTACAAAGAGTGTTTGTCGACACTGGGAGTTCTGTAAATGTGATTTTTTACGATTGTCTCAAAAGGATGGAACTCGACATACATCTCACACCCCTCCATACCTCACTATTCGGTTTCAACGGGTCAGAGGTCGCGCCCCTAGGTGAAACCATGCTCGCTGTCGTTCTAGGGGAAGGTGACTTGCAGAAGGTTACAATGGTTAGATTCGTGGTGGTTGATGTCGAGTCAGCTTACAATGTGATCTTAGGGAGGCCGACACTTAACGCATTCCGGGCGGTAGTATCGACCTACCATATGAAGCTAAAGTTCCCAGTCAGAGACCAAGTTGGAGAAGCTCGAGGCGATCAAAAGCTGTCGAGGACTTGTTATCAAATTGCTGTAAAAACCAACCAACGGGCCGAAGTTAAGGAGAGAAAGAATCCAATGATGAGCGAGAAAAGGCCAAGGAATTGTGATCTCGAACCACACGGGGAGCTAATGGAAATACAAATCGGAGAAACAAAGGAACAGACCACTAAGATCGGGAAAGATCTGAAAGTCGAACTACGAAACCAACTGGTCACACTACTAAAGGAGTTTAGGGATGTTTTTGCCTTCACCCCTGAGTAATTAATGTGGATCGACCCCGCTATTATGGAACATAAACTCAATGTCGACCCCCTCAGAAAGCCAGTAAAACAGCGACTTAGACGTCATGGCGAAGAAATCAACAAAGCAATTGAAGTCGAGGTGGATAAGTTGCTGCGGGCAGGGCATGTTAAAGAAATCCAATTTCCCGAGTGGATATCCAACACCGTGATGGTGAGAAAGGCGCTAAACAAATGGCGCATGTGCATCGATTTCCGTGACTTAAACTTGGCTTGCCCAAAAGATCATTATCCCTTACCACGAATTGATCAGCTCGTCGACTCTACGGCTGGTTGCGAGTTATTGAGTATGATGGATGCATCTCAGGGATACCACCAGATCCCGTTATGTCCGGAAGATCAAAGTAAAATGAGCTTCGTGATGAGTAAAGGGACGTACTGGTATGTCGTCATGCCTTTTGGACTTAAGAATGCTGGAGCAACCTACCAACGGCTGATGGATCGAATGTTCAAATCTCAGATCGGGCGAAATATCGAGGTATATGTGGACGATATCTTGGTGAAGAGTAAAGCCTCGACCTCACAACCAGACGATTTAAGGGAAACATTCCAAACTCTTAGGGCGTTCTGGATGAAGCTGAACCCAAACAAGTGTGCCTTTGGAGTAAAGGCAGGACGATTCCTGGGATATATCGTCACAGAGCGTGGAATCGAGGTAAACAGGGAAAAAGTGAAAGCCATACTCGACATGGCCCCACCAAGAAGTATAAGAGACGTAAAAGTTCTGACGGGACGAATTGCAGGGCTGAGCAGGTTCATTGCTCGAGCTGCAGAAAAAAGCTTCCCGTTCTTCAAATTACTAAAGAAGAAGTCGACCTTCTCATGGAGTGACGAAGCACAAATGGCTTTCGAAAAATTAAAAGAATTCTTGGGCGAGCTACCCTTGTTGACAAAACCAGAATCCGGCGACGAGTTGGTGCTTTATATATCTGTGGGATCGGTATCACTAAGTTCAGTGTTATTGCGAGAAGAAGGAGGTGTCCAACAGCCAATTTACTACACCAGTCGAGTTCTTCAAGGTGCAGAGACACGATATTCTGAAATCGAGAGAGCCGCCTTGACACTGGTGATAACGGCTAGAAAACTAAGACCATATTTTCTGAATCATGTGGTAGTGGTCAGGACAAACTTCCAGCTGGGTGAAACATTGGGCCGACCCACGGTGTCAGGTCGACTCGTTAAGTGGGCAGTTGAGTTGAGCGAATACTCTATCAAGTACGAGCCGAGGCGAGCCATAAAAGCTCAAGCCCTAGCGGATTTCATCCAGGAAGGTACAAAGGGATAAGAAAAGAAGTGGGTTATTCACGTCGACGGGTCCTCAGCGGCCTAAGGATCAGGTCTGGGAATTGTTCTCGTCTCACCTGAGGGCGAGCAACTTGACTTTGCTATTAGAATGGGATTTAAGGCCTCGAATAAAGAAGCAGAATATGAGGCGTTAATCAAAGGAATTCAACTTGCAATTGGCGGAGGAGTGTCAGAAGTTGTGGCGCATTCCGACTCACAATTAGATGTTGGACAAGTGTTGGGAAGTTGCGAGATCAAAGGAGAGCGAATGATGAAATATGTCGAAGAAATCCAAAGCCTTGTGCAGGGTCTGGAGAAGTTTGAACTAACACAAATCCCTCGAGAGGAAAACAAACGAGCAGATTGGCTCACGAGAATTGCGAGCTCAAATGATGGGAAGATGGGAAGTTCTATCACCACCATGCACTTAGAGGGAAGCGTGTTGGGCGAAACGATGGAAGTCGAGGAAAAGGACGACTGGAGAAAGTCGATTCATGAACTCCTGCAGGGTCGAGTACCCATGGGAGATAAGCAGGAGGCAGAAAGGGTTGCTCGATATCTAAGCAAATACTTTGAAGTCGACGGGATCATGTTCAAAAAATCTCTGGTTGGGCCTCACTTGCGATGCGTTTCTTAAGACGAATGAAATCATGTCTTGAAATAAATACATGAAGGATGTTGCGGAGCACATATAGGATCACGAGCCTTGGCAGGCAAAGCCCTGCGAGCAGGATACTATTGGCCCAAGATGCGAGCGATGGCAGAGCAGCTGGTTCAGAATTGCAAAAAATGTCAACGACATGGGCAAATCACGCACATCCCCGCCAAATACATGACGACCATAAGCACCCCGATCCCCTTCGCACAATGGGGAATCGACTTGGTAGGACCACTACCGATTGGAATAGGGCAGAGGAAGTTCTTAGTAGTCGTTGTCGACTATTTTACCAAATGGGTTGAAGTAGAACCGTTGGCGAAAATTACGGAGGAAAAAATGATCTAATTCCTGTTCAACAATATCTGTTGTCGATTCGGAGTCCCGAAAGTGCTAATTTCTGACAATGGAACTCAGTTCCAGGGGAAACGAATTCAAGCATGGTGCCTCGACATGGGAATAAAACAAAGGTTCGCCTCGGTCGCACACCCCCAGGCTAATGGGCAGGTCGAGGTGACTAATCGAACAATTCTCCAAGGATTGAAGAAGAGATTGGAGAGAGCATCAGGTGCTTGGGTCGATGAGCTGACAACAGTCCTACGGGCTTATAGGACGACTCCAAGAAGCTCAACAGGCCAGTCGCCATTTTACATGGTTTACAGAATGGATGCACTCCTGCCTGTTGAAGTCGGCTTAGATTCGCACAGACCGACATTTTACGAGGAAAAGAAGAACGAGGAGATGATCAAAGAGGCCCTCGATATGATAGAAGAAGGACGAGAGGAGGCCTGGGTGCTATCCATGGAATACAAGCAGAAGATGCGCGCAGTCTTCGACAGAAAAGTACGCACCAGACGATTTCAAGTTGGAGATCTCGTCCTCAAACGAGCAGATGCTCTTAAACATGTCGGGAAGCTTGAAGCTAATTGGGAAGGACCTTACACCATCACCAAAGTGCTTGAAAGAGGTGCATATAAACTCGAGGATGGCGAAGGACGACAGTTGCCGCGATCTTGGCACGTGATCCATCTCAAACGCTTTTATGCCTAAGATAGTATTTTGAACTCTTTTGTACTGAACAATGCTTAATCAAATTAAGTACTGCAATGATTCCCAAGCTTATGATTAAGTTGTCTTTTACATTTCTATGTCGATTTTATGATTACTCGAAAAATTGAATTTTTCGAAACGGCTATAAATTCGATTAACTTCTATGACTGCAAAGTCGATCTAACACAACTACGAAGTTGTATGCCTTGAGTCGAATCTCGGCAAAAGGCTATGAAGCCTATGACTACGAAGTCGATCTAACACAACTACGAAGTTGTATGCCTCGAGTGGAATCTCGGTAAAAGGCTATGAAGCCTACGACTATGAAGTCGATCTAATACAACTACGAAGTTGTACGCCTCGAATGGAATCTCGGCAAAAGGCTATGAAGCCTGCGACTACGAAGTCGATCTAACACAACTACGAAGTTGTGTGCCTCGAAGTGGAATCTAGGCTAAGCTACGAAGCTTGTAATCGTGAAACCTATAACTATGAAATTGCCACTCAAAATGAACCTATAAAATCTACAATTATGAAGTCGGCCCTAAACAATCACGACGAGCATTGATCAAGCGTCGATCAATCACAACATTATAACTTCGAACGATTGTGTCACTAGTTGTTCTAGAAAATCTTCTATGAAAAACGTTGCTCGACTTCGACCAGCTCGCAAGCCGGGTTGGGAGAAGACGAGCTAAAAAAACTTCGTTTAACATCTATGAAGCTGTTAAAAACGTTGCTCGACTTCGACCAGCTCGCAAGCCGGGTTGGGAGAAGACGAGCTGAAAAAACTTCGTTTAACAGCTATGAAGCTGTTAAAAACGTTGCTCGACTTCGACCAGCTCGCAAGCCGGGTTGGGAGAAGACGAGCTGAAAAAACTT